GGGGAGGTGACACTTTGGGGACACTTGGGGACCTCACCTTGTGCCTTGAAGGCCCCGTGGGGATATCCTGGGGTGGCACTGAGGGGACACTCAGGGGTGGCATCCACAGGGGACAGGACACCCAGGGGACACTTGGGGACACTGAAGAAGGGGAGGTGACACTTTGGGGACACTTGGGGACCTCACCTTGTGCCTTGAAGGCCCCGTGCTGCTGGCGGAACACCTGGGGTGGCACTGAGGGGACACTCAGGGGTGGCACCCACAGGGGACGGGACACCCAGGGGACACCCAGGGGACACTTGGGGACACCAGAGGGGGGGAGGTGACACTTTGGTGACCTCACCTTGTGCCTTGAAGGCCCCGTGCTGCTGGCGGAACACCTGGCCGGGGGCGCGGCCCTGGAGCAGCCTCAGGTACCCCCCTGGCCCTGTCCCTGTCCCTGTCCCTGTCACCGTCCCTGTCCCTGTCCCTGTCCCCTGGCCTGGCCCTGTCCCTGTCCCCTCCTGCAGCTCCGGCGGCTCCGTGTCCCGCTGCCACACGGTCACCACGATCTGGGGACACCAAGGGGACACCACGGCGTCACCGAGGGGTCCCCGGGGTCGCCGAGCTGTCCCCTCCCTGCCCCAGTGTCCCCAAAGTGTCCCCAAGGTGTCCCCAGGGTCACAGCGCTGTCCCCTCCCATCTCCAATGTCCCCAATGTCCCCAAGGTGTCCCCAAGGTCACCGCGCTGTCCCCTCCCTGCCCCAATGTCCCCAAGGTGTCCCCTCCCATCCCCAATGTCCCCAAAGTGTCCCCAAGGTGTCCCCAAGGTGTCCCCTCCCATCCCATTCCCGTTGTCCCCAATGTCCCCAAAGTCCCCTCATTGTCCCCAAGGTGTCCCCTCCCATTCCCAGTGTCCCCATTGTCCCCAATATCCCCAAGGTGTCCCCAGAATGTCCCCAAGGTGTCCCCTCCCATTCCCAGTGTCCCCAAAGTGTCCCCAATATCCCCAAGGTGTCCCCAGAATGTCCCCAAGGTGTCCCCTCCCATTCCCAGTGTCCCAAGTGTCCCCAATATCCCCAAGGTGTCCCCAGAATGTCCCCAAGGTGTCCCCTCCCATTCCCAGTGTCCCCAAAGTGTCCCCAATGTCCCCAAGGTGTCCCCAAGGCCCCTCCCATTCCCAGTGTCCCCAAATGTCCCCAAGGTGCCCCCAAGGTGTCCCCAAGGTGTCTCAAATGTCCTCAAGGTGTCTCCAATGTCCCCAGGGCCTTGTGTCCCCAGAGTGTCCCCAGGGTCCCTCCCCATCCCATTCCCAATGTCCCCAAGGTGTCACCAAAATGTCCCCAAGGTGTCCCCAGTGTCCCCAAGGTGTCCCCAAAGTGTCCCCAAGGTGTCCCCAACCTCCCTCCCCATCCCATTCCCAATGTCCCCAAAGTGTCCCCAATGTCCCCAAGTCACTCCAATGTCACCAAGGTGTCCCCAGTGTCCTCAGTCCCCAGTGTCCCCGCTGTCCCCGTGTCCTCAAGTGTCCCCAATGTCCCCAGTCCCCTCAATGTCCCCAATCCCTCAGTGCCCCCGATGTCCCCATTGTCCCCAATGTCCCCAGTCCCCTCAATGTCCCCAATCCCTCAGTGCCCCCGATGTCCCCATTGTCCCCAATGTCCCCAGTCCCCTCAATGTCCCCAATCCCTCAGTGCCCCCGATGTCCCCATTGTCCCCAATGTCCCCAGTGTCCCCGTTGTCCCCACGGTCCCCGCTGTCCCCGTGTCCTCACCCGCTGTCCCCCGTGTCCAGCTCCAGCCGTGGCCTCTTCGTCCCCGGCCCCGTCCCCTCCCCCGGCCGCTTGGGATGTCCCCAAGGTGTCCCCAAGGCGTCCCCGTGGCCGTTGGGGGCGGTGGCACCGAGCCGGTGGCCCTGAGCGATGTCCCCAGGCTGGTGGCTTTGATCAATGTCCCCGAGGTGGTGGCCCTGCGCGTTCCTGACGTGGTGGTGGCCCTGGGACACGTCCCCGAGGCGGTGGCCTTGGCCGATGTCCCCAAGGCGGTGGCCTTGGGCGTTTCCAAGCTGGTGGCCCTGAGCGATGTCCCCAAGCTGGTGGCTTTGACTGATGTCCCCAAGCTGGTGGCCTTGACCGATGTCCCCAAGCCGCTGTCCCTGCCTGATGTCCCCAAGCTGGTGGCTTTGATCGATGTCCCCAAGCCGCTGTCCCTGCCTGATGTCCCCAAGCTGGTGGCCTTGACCAATGTCCCCAAGCTGGTGGCTTTGACCGATGTCCCCAAGCCGGTGGCTTTGATCAATGTCCCCAGGCTGGTGGCTCTCAACAATGTCCCCAAGCTGGTGGCCCTGAGTGATGTCCCCAAGCCGGTGGCTTTGATCAATGTCCCCAAGCTGGTGGCTCTCGGCGATGTCCCCAAGCCGCTGTCCCTGCCAGGCGCCGTTGGTGTCCCTGTCCCCGTTGGTGGCAGCCGTGTCCCCGTTGGTGTCCCTGTCCCCGTGGGTGTCCCTGTCCCCGTTGGTGGCCGTGTCCCCGTGGGTGTCCCCGTTGCTGGTGACACCGCGCAGCACGAAGTCCACGATGTCGGGTGGCAGCCCCTCGGGGGTCGGTGGCACGCCGGGGGGGGGTGGCCCTGTCCCCTCTGTCCCCTCTGTCCCCTCTGTCCCCGCTGTCCCCCGGGCGCCGTCGTCGGCCCCGTCCAGCTGCTGGATGCGGGGACAAGGGGACAGCGGGGACAGCGGGGACAGCGCCGGGGCCACCACGGTGCGCGCGTGGCCCAAGTGACGTCCCCGCCGCGCCACCGCCGCTGACAATGACAGGGTGACAGTGACACCAGGGTGACAGTGACACTGAGGGTGACAATGACACTGAGGTGACACAGAGGTGACAGTGACACCAGGGTGACAATGACAGGGTGACAGTGAGACCAGGATGACAGTGACACTGGGGTGACAGTGACACAGGAGTGACAGTGACACCGGGGTGACAATGACAGGGTGACAGTGACACTGGGGTGACAGTGACACCGGGGTGACAATGACAGGGTGACAGTGACACTGAGGGTGACAGTGACACCGGGGTGACAATGACAGGGTGACAGTGACACCGGGGTGACAGTGACAGGGTGACAGTGACACCGGGGTGACAGTGACACCAGGGTGACAGCGGCACTGAGGTGACACTGAGGGTGACACGCCCTGGGGGTGACAGTGACACCGAGGTGACAATCACACGGAGTGTGACGTCATCCTGTGGGTGCCACCACCATGGAAATGACAGTGACATCAGGGTGACAGTGACACCGAGGGTGACAATGACACTTGAGGTGACAGTGACACCGAGGGTGACACCCCCTGGGGGTGACAGTGACACCGAGGTGACAATCACACGGAGTGTGACGTCATCCTGTGGGTGCCACCACCATGGAAGTAACAGTGACATCAGGGTGATAGTGACACCGAGGGTGACAATGACACTTGAGGTGACAGTGACACCGAGGGTGACACCCCCTGGGGGTGACAGTGACACCGAGGTGACAATCACACGGAGTGTGACGTCATCCTGTGGGTGCCACCACCATGGAAGTAACAGTGACATCAGGGTGATAGTGACACCGAGGGTGACAATGACACTTGAGGTGACAGTGACACCGAGGGTGACACCCCCTGGGGGTGACAGTGACACCGAGGGTGACGTCATCCTGTGGGTGCCACCGCCCTGGAGGTGACACTGCCCTGGGAGGTGGCACTGATTGTGACAGGGGGTGACACTGAGAGTGACAGGGGGTGACAGAGGGTGACAGGGGGTGACACAGCGGGTGACACGTACCTGGGTGCCGCGGTGGGTGACAGAGGGTGACACAGGGGGTGACACAGGGGTGACAGGAGGTGACAGTGGGTGACAGGAGGTGACACAGCAGGTGACACGTACCTGGGTGCCACGGTGGGTGACAGGGGGTGACATTGGGGGTGACAGGAGGTGACAGGAGGTGACCCAGGGGTGACCCAGGGGTGACACGTACCTGGGTGCGGCGGTG